CGATTTTGAAACGTCTCAACAGGAGGAATCGGCTTTCTCAATTTTTAAGATCCCGGTAATGATTCTGCCTCTAGCACAGTCTGAGAGAAATACGCTTGGTATCCGAAATCGATCTTAACTGTGGAGTGACAGCCATCCCACTCTTGTGTTCGCTGTTTGTTTTCCAAAAGAGTTTAAAGAAGAACCTTTTACAGTACCTATTGTCTTAAAAATACAATTTCGGCGAATTAACGTATTTCATGGTAGGAAATAAAAACGTTGAATGAAACGTTAAAGGAAAAACCAACTTTGTGAACATTTATGTGAGTGTAATTTTGGAGATAGGTGATTTCTATGATGGTAAAGAAATAATTATTTTTACTTTCTCGTACGAATATACGTACGTATATACAGAGTAATATACTTTTACGTTGTATAGAGAAAGTTATGTAATGCTGGGGCAAAAAATACGATTTATTGCGTTCTGTGGGTTATCTTAGGATGTGAAACTGTGAGTTTAAGGAATGAATTAGTAATAATCGACTACTTTTAATACTCCTACTTCTCTACTTCCTTCACTTCCTTACCTACTACTTACCTTTTCCATGAAAATACTGTCATTGCAACTACCCAAGTTTTGTATATTTTTGTTTGTCTTGAATTTATTTTATGTGCTGTGGAATCCTCTTTTATTAAAGACAATCAAATCGAACAATTATTTTATGGGCATCATTCTACTAAAGAAGGTTACGTGACACAATCTGACCACAAGATTAGGCTATTATCCAGCATTTTAACAGTTACATATGTTTCTTTCATCGATTAAAGATAAAAGAAGTTTAGATTGTTAAAACTGATGACGTGGGCTCATTGTGGCGCGAAACATTGCCTTCAGTACATTGATGTCAATACAATAATTGTCGAAATAATACTGATTAGATTGTCTTTGAAATAAGAGCATTCCACTGCACACAAAATACACAATATGCAATTACTCTCGAGTTCATCTATAATTAGTCATGTTTTGCTGTATTCCGCTTAATGACACGTTCAGAATTTTCATGTTATTGTTATTATATTTCGTTATATAGTTTTATTAACGAGTAAAATGGACTCAGCGGTCAGTTATTTAAAACATTGAGAGCAAACCCATTAATTCTTTACCGATCATACGGAGTTCATTTGACGCTAATTTTGCTAGCACGTCTACTCTTTCGCTCGACACTCAGCATTGATGCTTATTGTAAACTGGTGTGCTAAAACAGTATGTACTTTCTCGCCCGTGTTATCACACAAAATTACGCAAATAGTACTCAAAGTTTCGAAAAATTATACATTAACTTATTTCAAAATCTATTTTTAAGAAATATATTTCATAAAAGAAAAATACTTATCTTTAATCTCCGAAAACATTTTGAACTTTTGCGATTTTCGAAAAATGAGGGTTTTCAACGAACACGAGACCAGCACAATTCTCTTAAAATTCTTTGCACTATTCAAAATTTAATCAAAAACGGAGCCATTTTTTAAAATTTGTAATATCCCCCAAATAAAAATATTGGTTTCAAACTCAAATGTCCCCAACATTAGCAAGATAGATTGGGGAATATCAATTTTGGAGAAAATCAAATAAAAGATCAAAAACGAGGAAAATCAAAACTGCGAGTAATGTTAGAGAATGGAAGCACATGCGTATTCGAATTTGAACATTTACCTTCTTATGCGTCCAAATACGGGGAAAATCGAATGTAATTGTGATATTCTTTTTGGAACTAATTCAGAATAATCTTGTATTAGGATTACAGAATAACGCTGAGGAACAGTTTACAGGTGATCTTTTGTGTGTATTTTTGTACATATTCGCAAAAATAGTGAAAAACATAGTTGTAATAAATTCTAACTATTCGCATCATATATTCCTGTAAGTATTTTTTTTCAGCGATTACAATTTTGAAATTGCAATATTACTAGTTCAATCCCGGATGGAGGTAACATCTAAGGTCTTTTGATGTTGGGGATTTTTGTACGGGAGTATAACAACATTATCTCCTACGATTCATTGATATGTCAAATACCAGGGAGTGTAAGAACTTACTTGAAGCTATGCATGATGGCATTTAGAAATTTTCATCATACGAAAACACTTATAAACTATCGGCGTCGACACATTCATCTAGTCTGAAATAAAGTACAAATTCTAACTTACGTAGCATCCATCTTTTCAAGTGACATAGAAATGAATGAATGCCACAACTGCGCCACGAAACGTAGCCATTTATTGCCAGCGGCCGATGCTTACAGGGCGTCAAGTATTAGAAATGATGCTAATGAAACCCAACCCCAACCAATTTAAACGAAGTGCCTGAGGTGCATACTTGCGCTTATTTCGATAGACAGGAATAGACAGGAATAATTATTTCTAACTTTTACCAATGAAACAAACATGAATAAATTAAACAGTTACAGTATTTGCAATACATAATACAAAAAGCAAGAATAATTTTACACAAGTCTGCATTGATTACACTTCAAGTTCAGTTTTCAATTTTTAATATCATAATTAGAGATCACTATTTCTCAAATTAAAGAAGTGTGTTTGTTAGTTCTAAGTTAAATCAATCTATTTTTTCATGAGAATAAGACTACACCATGAAATCAAGACCGTCAACAATGGGATGAATTCGAATAATTTTGAAACCACTGTGTTGCCCACAGTATCGTGTTGCCTTGCTAAAATCCCACACCTTACGATGCAAAGCAAAATGATCGAATTCTCTTCACATTTAACTAAAATTTAAAATGTACTCAATGCTTAAATAATATTAAATGTAATCTTTCTTTTCAAGATTTGAATGACTTCCTACATATACCATTCAAATTACATTGCCATTGTAATTACACCGCTTCGAACAAAGCTCGAGAAATCCGAAATTTACCATTTCAAGTTTTTTTTTCATTTTTCAATTATTTAAAGATCTAATTTAAATGACCATAATTTATTCAGAAAAAATGGTAATTGCAGTTGTAGGACGACCAACCAGATCGTTTACGGTACATCAATTTTTGAGCTATTGGGCTGAATGGTTTAGCCGCTTGCGTTCACGGACAGACATTTTGCCGTAATAGAATTTTCCGTATCAATGAGCCACAAATCATTGATTCTGGCATCACCACGTGTTACAGGTTTTTTTTTTATATTTAGCAACGGCATTTATCTACTTTTTTACTTTATTTACTAGGTATCGGCAGTAAAAGTCTTTCTATTGAAAATTCGCTGTTTTTTCCCACAGCATTGCATAACTTTCTCTAAACAATGTCAACAGAAATGAGAAAGTAAAACAATGAATGCTCCGTCGCTGCCGAGTGCTACGAACATTTTAGTTAACTTAGGCAAGGTTGAATAGTTTATGTTCTCGATTAAAATCAGGATTTAATCAAAATCCTGTCAGAAACCAGGATCAAGGAAAAGTCTTTAGTGCCGTGTGAGGGCATTTTAAATTCCTAACAAAGGCACCGAGCCCTAGCACGCCCGCCACCGAGCAGCGGAGGTAATTTCTGGGCAGCGACTTCCCAGCGGATCTGCTTCCGGTCCGATGTGCCGGTGGACGGGATGTAGGTGAAGGGCGAGGGAGGGCAAATTGCTACAATCCCAGAAAAGTATAGTTGACCATTAGACGTTTTAATATGCTTAGGACATGCAAAACATATATGTAATACTTTAGTTAACTTACGACTAGAGGGAGATGAATAATTCATACGAACTAATGATAGACAATTGAATATCTCCATTGACATGAAGCACATTAAATATCAAGTAATTGGCAAACAAATTACTTAATTAGCACGTAAACCAATGGAAGCTAATCGTCAAGTAATATGTTCAGCAGCGACTTCATTAAATATTAATATACTTATTATGCAGGTTTTCAGTCCGCAACATCGGCAATAATTTGTATAGATATGATTTCTTTGGCACTGTGAACACGTAAGTTGCTATTAGTAATTTAGTAAGAAGTTTAGTATTTGCGTAGCATTTAATGAACTGAGGAATGTGGCTTTGATCATTGTTACTCATCCTCAGCCAGTTGGAGTGATAGAAGATGCTCGTATCTCTGGACGTTTTTGAATTACGGCTGTAGTTGTTAAACGACAAAAGTGCTATTCACAGCACTCAGGAGACGTTCGGGCAGATCTGCGCAGACATTCAGATGTTTTAGCTCTGAAGGTTCTCCGAAGACGTTTGGAAGTTCTGAGAAGTGATTCGTCGTCGATTGTTCATTGAAGAAGATGGTTGCATTAATTGAGACAGGGGCGGATCCAGAGATATTTTTTGGAGGAGGTGGGGGGGATGTGGACAAAAAAAAAATGTCCTAAAATTCACCTGCGTTGCGGCGTGCCGCTGTTTATCCTCTGCGCCCTTCCAACTCCGTCTTCATACGCCGCGTCGTGCCTTTGCTTTCCTCCACTCGCATTCCTCGCGGGGCTCCCGCCTG